ATCTCTCTTTATGGACGTTTTCATATGGGGGGGTTAAAGCAACTTTAAATTAGACTAAGCTGTTCTTCATGTTTGGCTGAGCCTGAGTATCATAAACGTGTTACCTTACTTAAGGCCTAATTGACCAGCTCATCTTACAGTAATCCAGTTGCTCATTGTCCTGGGGAGACTAGGGCGCCCAGTGGTTCAGGGCGGAAATGGACACCCTGTCTGTCCTCTGTGCTGCACACCACTGACCACTCCCAGTGGTGACTTAAGGGGGGTGGATAAAGTGTTGCCTAGGCAACCTAGCACTTGTCAGTCTCTGGCTAAGCATGTGTTTGTGCAGTTGAGGAGTGGCCTGATTTGGAAAGTGCGAGTCACCTCCGGATTGTAGTACAAGAATGACACAGCTTTTAGTGCGTGGCATACAGGAGCTTGGACTGAATGGAGGTGCTAATGTCCACAACCTTGGTCCAAGTCTATTACCATGGTGCATGTCGTAATGGCCCTTCTGGAGGATAGGGCAATTTTTTTCAACAAGAAAACTGAATTTAGAATTTAGTGATCAGTGTTTATTGTTGATACACCACAGCACACAGTGCACAACAACTAAATGTGTCCTCTGCATTTAACCCATATGTGACGTTGTGACATAGCAAGGGGCAGCTAATTCAGCGCCCGGGGAGCAGTGCTTGGGGGCGGTACCTTGCTCAGGGTACCTCAGTGGTGCCTTGCTGGTCGGGGATTTGAACCTGCAATCTTTCAATCACAAGTGCACTTCCATAGCTGCAACACTTATTACGAGGCTCCTTGGCACGAACGGTCCCACCTCACTTTTCTCACGTTGTTCTCTCCTGCTAGCCCGTAGCGATGGCATCTACAAAGGAGAAGCTGATCGAGAACGTGTTGAGTGAAGATGCTGTTGGCTCCAGGAACAAGGTGACGGTGGTTGGTGTTGGCATGGTGGGCATGGCCTGCTCCGTCAGTATCCTCATGAAGGTGAGAATGACAGTTGAATTCAGCCGAACCCAACGGCCATGGTGAAAGTGACAGGCGAAATAATGGCCGAGAATGCCACCCACCATCTTAAGCTGCAGTCTAATGCAAGTTGCCTTTAAACAGGAGGTCTTAAGCCTCTGCCTAACTTAAGACCTACTGTTTAGTCGATGCTAATGGTGCTTTTTCTGTACTCCTTCAGGAACTAGCTGATGAGATGGTTCTGGTTGATGTCATTGAGGATAAACTGAAAGGCGAAGCCATGGACCTGCAGCATGGAAGCCTCTTCCTTAGGACCCCGAAGATTGTGTCTGACAAAGGTGATGAATGTGATGGGTTGTGTGAATGTCCCGGAAAGAGATTTCTAGGTGTACAACTAGATTAAAGAAGATCAATGAAAATGGATGCGGACGGCTGCTCTGACAAAGGCGCATGCAGTCTGTGAAGTGTCAATGCTGAGAGAACATTTTAAGCACTGATATGGTCCTTTGAATAGCGGTAGAGAGACCCCTATGAACTCTGACTGAGTAGTGTGTCACCTGGCTTGAGGGACCAAGCTGATGTCCTGCTGTTCCTCAGATTACAGTGTGACTGCAAACTCCAAGGTGGTGGTGGTGACAGCCGGTGCCCGGCAGCAGGAGGGCGAGAGCCGTCTCAACCTGGTGCAGCGCAACGTCAACATCTTCAAGTTCATCATTCCCAACATCGTCAAGTACAGCCCCAACTGCATTCTCCTCATTGTCTCCAACCCAGGTAATGCTTCACAACCAGCTTATATGGAAAAAAATATAACATCAATATGACAGCCTCATTATGCACAGCATGGCTGGCTTACCTTCAGATGCTTGTTTACATTAGGCGTCTGGGGAAAGCTTAACTACCTTGAGGCCCAGTAAATCTGTCATTCTGCTTTGATTACTGAGTTGTTCTCTAATTTGTTTTCCCCCCTCAGTGGACATCTTGACCTACGTGGCCTGGAAGCTGAGTGGTTTCCCCAGGAACCGTGTCATTGGCAGTGGTACCAACCTGGACTCTGCTCGCTTCCGCCACCTGATGGGCGAGAAACTCAACATCCATCCATCCAGTTGCCATGGCTGGGTCATTGGGGAGCATGGAGACTCCAGCGGTAAGTCTATTCTGTCCCGTGCATCTGCTCAGTGTGGTCTGACCTGTCTGACCTGCCAATCATTGGAAGTCTTTGTGAAGGTAATAAATCTGCTCTACTGCATCAGACCGTTTCTTGCTAGTCTGGGTCATAATGTTCCCACCTCTTTTGCAGTACCCGTGTGGAGTGGTGTGAATGTGGCTGGGGTCACTCTCCAGAACATCAACCCACAACTGGGCTCAGATGCAGATGAAGAAAACTGGAAGAGTGTCCACAAGATGGTAGTTGACAGGTGAGTCTCATCACTGTAAATGCTACACGATGGGAGGCATACCTCCCTTCCGGAACGTTCTTATTAAAAAAGGTTCAGTTTAGCATTTTTAACACCATTTCTAGAAATCAGTATGAGCTGAGACAAAGTCACATCTGCTAGTCTCAGTATATATAGGGCAAAGCAAGCAGAAAATCGGAATCTTTAATTTGTGCATCAGCAACCTAAGAGCCGTGGAGGTTGTCCTAGTAATGGACCTGCATTCTTCTCACACATTAATCTGTTAATTGGGTGCAGTAAGTGTTAAACTGATTCCTTTCAACCTTCCTGTCACTCAGTGCCTATGAGGTCATCAAGCTGAAAGGGTATACATCCTGGGCTATCGGGCTGTCTGTAGCCGACTTGGTGGAGAGTATCATGAAGAACCTGCGAAAGGTGCACCCAGTGTCCACCCTGGTCCAGGTGAGTGTCTTCTGTACATAGTGCCCACAGTAGTAGTAGATGCAGCAAATCCTCAAATCACACAGTTGAGCATTTCAGTGTTTGTGTGCCATTGACCGCATCAGAGCATATCTGTGTCCACTGGCCTTGCCTCTGAGATTGCTGACGCTTCCAGGAAAACAAAATACTGATAATACCCATGATAACTAATCATAGACACTTAAGTACATAGATTATCTATCCTTGCACAACCTAAGTCTAGTCTTGAGAGTCAGCTGGTGTACACATGTTCAATCGAAAGATGCCCTCTGCCTTACTGACAGCGTGTCCCCCTCCCCTAGGGCATGCACGGTGTGAAGGATGAGGTCTTCCTCAGTCTGCCCTGCGTCCTGGGCAACAGTGGGCTCACTGACGTGGTGCACATGACTCTGAAGGCCAGTGAGGAGAAGCAGCTGGTGAAGAGCGCAGAGACCCTATGGGGTGTCCAGAAGGAGCTCGTCCTTTGAGGGCCATACAGAGATGACCACAGTGGCTTTGAAGCTATCTCCTTTAGCCAGCTATCTCCATTAGCCAGCACTCCCCTTTAGCCAGCACTCCTGAACCAAACAGTCTCTAAGCAGTTGCACCTTATTGCCTCACTGTACCTGCGCTAGGTGGAAATCTCCTTTGTGGACCTTTGTCAGCAGTGATTTTGTCTGTACTTGTCTTTGTTGTGCAGTCTATATAGAGTATTTAAAAATGAAACAAGGGCCAGTCTTGCAAGCAAAGGTATGGTTTTATGGTCTTAAACCAAATATCAACCGTTCCATACATCAACCAAAGCTGTTATTTTTTGGTTAGAAATGAACCAAAATTGCATTCCTGAGAGCTATTCACTGCCTTGTGAGGCTTCTATCTGACCATTAGTACCACTACTAAATGGGGCAGGATTAATGTTACTATCAGCTACCTTTGTTTACAGTTGTAATCTCTAGAATGAAAGCTTAATCATGTCAGTATTTGGACTGTCCCATAGCACTTTCCTAATAAAGGACTGTCTTGTTCTGGTCTCTGAGTGTGGTCATGTCTGAACCTTTCTTCATAATGAAAAGCAGTGCATCTATAAGTGCAAGAGGAAGAGCTGTAGATTCTGTCCAGTTTATGGTCACCAAAATAAACATCAAGAGTAAACCCCAGCAATGTTGTTCTTCCCTCCTTTCCTGCATGTCTGCCTCCTGTTGAGATTGTTCAAAGGGTTTAATGGGACAAAAGTCCTCCAATTCCAGCAGAGATGCAAGGTAGACTTTACGTAACCCTTGAAATACTTCCTGCCAGCAGAGACAGAACTCATTCTTGAGAATTTAACTTGTTCAAGTTGGGATTTTTCCATCTTGTGAAAATATTTACCTTTGCTCAGTGCTATTCAATAGTGACAATGTTTAGATGAAAAAAAAGTAAAGTTTATTTCTCCAGATGAAATATTGTACAATTTCCTTCAAAGTGCATTTAACAAAACTAGATTTTAGTGAAAAATATTGTCAATCTTCACCAGGAATTCACTGAAGTCTTTCCATAAAATTACTGATTCCCAAATAACATTACTTTGATAGCTCTATATATTTAGAAATTTGCTAAGCAGAAAGGCAGGAAAACCAGCTATTAAGCATGGTAAGATTTCAGATTTAAAAAACCATCCATGAATGCTATAGATATGTACCTCCATCATTCTGTTGTAATATGGATAAAGAAGACTTCAAGCACACTGACTTCCAGTGAAGATTACAAAGGAGACCGAACAAATCTATAGTAATCAAGTCAACTGCTAACATTTCCAAGTACAGCTGGGAGAACAGACTTTAAAATAGTAAATAGACACACAATTCCCCACCTGAAAAGTCTGTACTGCTTCCTGTTTTTTGAGGACCAGTAAGTACCCCTGCAAGAATATCTACAGAGTGAGACCTCACGAATGAACGAACATCAGGTAGGTCAAAACTCCATTCCCATGCAATCTGTCCCTTCATGTTGGGAAAAGTTTGTGAACCAGTGGTGACCTCACACCATTCCCCACTCCACCTCACCTTTTTTTAAAGACCCTCCTTCCACTCAACTCTGTAGTGTATATAATGTTCTTGTTTTGCAGCCTTTGCCCATGTTTAGCTGGGACAGTATTGTTTAGATAGCGCAGTACAGGATGTGTTACTAATGCTTAATACAAACAAAAATAAACGTATACATTTGATGTTTAATTATACAGAAAAGGTTAAAATACTCCACCCCTCATTTAACCAAGAATTTTTCTATTAATCTCCCCCAAGTGATACGTTTCCCGTTTTCATCCTGTTGAGAATCGATGATCTTTCTTGCGCACACACATGCACTCTGTTTGCTGTGGCCCAGCATATTTGAGTCCAAAAGCTGTGGGGAACAAGTGCCACTATGTGAAGAGAGAGTACCGGTCTGAAAAAAGGGCTGAAAAAGGCTCAAGTACCCAGTGATGCTGAGGTCACCGAGGTCAGTAGAGGTCGCTGAGGCCGGCCGTCTTGCGAGCCTTCTGCATCAGAGCTCGCAGCTGGAACTGTTTGCGGGACAGGAGACGCACGTGCTGCACGGGGAAGAGGATCATCAGCAAACCCACTTCCTTAACTAGTGACCCCTCTGGGCGGTTAGGAAAGCCCAGATAGAGAGATTCTGACATCTGTTGCAACATGTGTGATGATTGCACGAAGACAGCCAACTGCTTCACTTAGTTGCGCATGTGCACAATGACAAAGCTGACTCTGACTGAACCATAGAATCTAAACAGGTTCCTTTCATTTACTAAAGCAAAACCAAAGAAAAGGAGTATGGTTTACTGAAGCCTTACCTTACCGTCACTGTCTATGCAGAGTTCGTCAATCAGGACCTCACTCACCATTTCACTGCGTGACAAACTGGCTGCCCACAGTAAATTTGAGCTGCTATTGCTCATAATTAGTGAAACACTGCTTTACTCATCTAGCTTGCATGTAACACTGCAGCTGGGTCATCCAGCACACAAAAGGCAAATGAAGAGAGAAAAAGAACTGAGAGAATATAAACTGGGATAAAAAGAACCCACCTTGAGAAAAACCTCGAGGTCGATGACCCCGCGCCGCAGCGCCTCCCCCAGGTAGAAGATGGTGTCCTCGATCGCATTCTCCTCGGCGTACAGGTTGAGGATCTGCTTGTAGAGGGGTGCCGTGGGCACGATGACATCATCAATGTCATTGTTCTCAGACTGGCTCTCCATCTTCTCCAGGGCGGTGGTCAGCTCCTCATCCTTACGCTTCAGGAGCTCGATGTTCCTGTCCACGTCCGTCTGACGGGTGGGTGTGGGAGATGGATAATGAAACAGGTGTCACACTGACTATGTACATGGAACAGTAATCTGCAAACAGCCGTGGCTGGTGTGAAGATTAAATGGATTCTACCCGTTTTATAAAGATAGTCCAGTGTTTGTTAAAGGGCCTTAGAGAACAATGCATGAGAAAAATTCTGGTCTGAAATCCTGAAGAAGTCCAAGGGATTTTCTCACCACTTCCTGGTCCAAACGAGACACCATGTCCTCAAGCTTCTGGTGGCCTTTCTTCAGGTCCTCCTCGGTCCTCTTGAGGGCATCCAGCTCTGCCTGGGCCCGGTCCATCTCCTCCTTCATCCTCCAGCGAAGCTTGTCACTCACCGCTGAGATGAGGGAAGCACGGATGGTATCCTCTCCAATGGTGCCGTCACGGCTTGGGCCTGCGGGGGATGGGAGTCACAGGTGAACCATGCCTCCATGCTTCACGAACATCAGTATGCTACAAAGCGTCCCACCATGTCATACCAAATTCATTAAGTATTCAAGGACTAAAAGGGCACCTTCACCGTTTCGCTTCATCAAACGTGGTGATATTTTGCCGTTATATTTCAGTCGCCACTCACACAGGGCAGCCCCGCATCTCTCAAATGTGCACCTGTTTGCACCTGCATTGTTTAATGTTCAAACAAAGTGACGGACAATCCCAGTGTACACTACAAAACAGCAGCACAGTAGGATCCCAGTCACTGTGCTTCAGACTCAAAAAGCAAAAAACAGCAACATAAAAACATACGCATTAATCATTTATCATTATTTTAATCATTATTCATTTTACATGACGCCCCCCAGACATAATGCCTTAATGTCTGTAATAGCTTACATTAAAAAATAGTTATAAGTATTAAGTGTTTACCCTTGTTCCTTAGCTGCCCCTATTTGTGACGGCCCCTTAATGTATGAGCTCTTTAAATTGTTCCATCTTTATTCTTTCATCCCTTAAACACACAGCATGCTGCAATAAACACTCATCTATAATGATGACAACTAACACAGTCTAAAGTCTGCTGTATTTCTGAGAGCATGCACGTGAAGCGCACGCTGCTGCCACGCGCGTGAAGACGAGCCAACACGCGCCGATAGCTTAGACACCCTGCAGAACGATGGGTGAGGACAGCGGACAGGTGCGTTTGCTGGCAGACGTACACTAGACTGAACAGTGTAGGGAAGGGAAACACCATACTTGTGAAAAAGAAGTCTAGATACATATACAGTTGCCCTAACTTGAGGGGCATCCCTACCAATCACCTTATTTTCAGTGTGAAGCACTGAGATCCAAAAAAAAATCCATTAGCTGTGAGGAGCAAATATGTAGGTTGAGGAGGATGTAAAAGCTTTAATACAGCAATATCTCCATTACATTTTCAGGGTTCCTTAAAAAACAGATCTATGATGATAGGAAGAACATTGTTTAATTGTTCCACAGGCAAGCAAAACGTCATTGGTGTGTACAGCACACATCCATAATTAGGAATAAATCATAGGACAGCAAATCCTCATTCAAAATACTACATCCTTCTTCGGCAACACACAGTGATGAATATTAATCACCAACAAAACAACCGCCCAGAGGTCACCCTGAGGTCTGCTGCCCTACCACATGAAAGTTCATTCAACCGCACGCCTTTCTATAAAAGGCCTCAAGGTGGCGACATACAGTACTCACACTTAAACAGCAAACAAACGATCATTTCATTATTTCAAACTAAATCTATGTTGTTTTAGCAATGCAACATCGTATGAGTGGTGATCAGCACGGTGATCACCATTTTGGCACATTGCCTGTGTAGTGTCCCCAAGGCGAACTTTGTCATTTGTTTTGATCCCACCCACTGTCCACGATAGGCTGACGTAATGTGACATTGTTTGTTTGTATCTAAACATGCATGTTACACATGCTTAGAATTTAGTGATTGTTGATGACACACCACAGCACACAACAACGAAATGTGTTCTCTGCATTTAACCCATATGTGACATAGTGACATAGCAGGGGGCAGCTAATTCAGTGCTGAGGGAACCTCAGTGGTGCCTTGCTGGTTGGGGATTCGAACCTGCAATCTTTCAACTCCAAGTGTGCTTCCCTAACCATTAAGCCACCACCGCCCACACTGCGGGATTGGTCAGCGGGTAATTATGCAGTTAATTGGCATACTTTGCATCGCACCGCGCACTTCTGTAAATAGTCTAAATTAATGAGTGTATTTGCGTATTATTGGTGTAAATAGTAATTTTCATAACTGTGTAATGTTTGTTGCGGAATACGTGTTTCATTAGCATGTAACCATGAGTGTCATGTAGATTGCTGGCTTCCCTGTCTGTGCCACTTCTAGACCAGTAGTGGCTGTTAATAAAGAAAGCCTCTTCCATTTTAAAAGAGCTGTCAATTCCATTAAAATGACACACACACTCGCCATAATACGTATATTTACACTCAATATGATTGTCTGCTGCACCAAAAACACTACGTGCACTCTAGGGTTGTGGTGTGACATAAAACAAACAAGGTGACTGTGTCTTTAAGTATGTGGCAGACATCCTTTGATGTATGTGGCCGCGTAATCCACCTCCATTTCGCTGTGCTCAGTGAACCTCACTTACATTTAAGTACTTAACAGATGCTTTTGCCAAAGCAGCGTATAAGTGAAGCAAGTAGCACAATACAATCAATGTGCTGTCAAGGAGTCAACTAGGCATAAGCGCAGCTGGGGTGACCTGTGCTGACCCTCCAGACAGAGACTGGTGAGCGACCATATGGAATGTGGCAGAACAGAGAGAGAAAAATGCTGAATTTTTTTAAAATATAATTCAAGACTGCCTGGGATCCTTGATGCTTTGACCATATTTAGAAATATTTACAGCACCAGCCTTTCTACTCATACTTGTGGTTTGGTCCAATCCTCTATCTGTGTATATAACAGAAACATCTATAAATACAGCGATATCTAGCGCTTAATTAATAACAGTCTCACATTTGATTCAGAACCACGTCAGTCATGAACAGTATGTAGGAGGCACCAGGACCATTCTCCAAGAAAAATCCTCGAGGAATGAAGAAGCTGGAAATCTGTTTTAAAATTAGTGCTTCAAAATGTCTTCAAGAGGTTCAGCCATTTTTAGATCTGGTGAATGGAGGGGCTGTGGATGACGTTTAACTTCCTTCTGCTCAAGAGACCACTCTAATTTATTAACAAACATGTGGTTGGGACATTATCCTTGTGGAGTATAGGACAATGATGAGGGAACATCTGCCATTTAACCAAAACCTCAGAGCAATCACTGGACAGAATGCCTGACAGTTAGTGTTCATCTACCCTTTTCAGTAGACTTCGAACTCTGTTCTTAGGAAATTTTAGGAACGTTTTTCCATACTTGCCATACATTGTCAAAATTTGACACATTTAAAAATTCTTAAGTTTTTTGTAACTGATGTTCCAGCAATTCAACAGCTAACATCTAGGGTATTTGGAAACACTGTTAGCGGCCACATCTGACATATGAGAAAACTAACATATCAAACTGCTGATTGTCACATCAAGACTGACACATTCTTTTCAGAACACTAAAGTGTCTTGTGCCTGTGAGCTTGATCTACAATATACCAAATGTCAAATAATAATGCAATACCAGTTTGACAAAATGAATACATTTATACATGAACAGTCCTATTGAAGTAATGTAAATAAGGTTATTCTGCATTATGTTTTCACCCTTGTATTTTCCACATTCTTCACTTTTTCCAACAGTAGGCCCTAAGAGAACATTACAGCTCCCAGCAGGCAGCTTACCGACAGTGGTGACAGGGGGCTGGGGCCCATAGTGGCCTGGACCAGCCGCACCAGGGTACGAGTTTCCACTGGGGTACGGATACCCTGGGTATCCACTAGAGGGAAACAACACATCAAGAAAAGATCATCACTGACTAAAAGATATCAAAGAACAAGTCTACCTTAGATTCTATCTATGTGAAGAATTTTGTCTACATTACCAGAGTATTTATATAAAACCATACAGCTACTCACAATAACGATGTTCTTATTCTCTAATCTACCATGTTCACAAAACTTGAGTCTGCATCATAATGAACTATCTTGCTTTTACGATACGAGCCGACAGCAAAGGACTGCTGGTCATGCAGACGCCCTACCTGGTATTGGCAGCAATACCGGATCCGTAGGGCGACACCGTTGGCATTCCGGGCATGTAGGAAGCTGGAGAAGAACAGAGGGACGGAAAACAGCCACAGTGTCATGGATAAACACTACAAAGAGGTGCGAACAGGAACGGCCGTGCATTCAAATGAATACCATCCATGAGCATCCAAGCCTCTGCTCCGTTATTATAAACTTACTTTCCTGTTCTGTCATGTCCTGCTTTCATTTATATACAGAAACTGATTACTCACTTGGGAAATAATTATACTTAAGAACCATCTGTTAGCCATGTTTTAATCGTGCCACAAAGTTACATCTCACTGATTGCGATTAACAAGCAAAGCACAACTTCATACTGTGCAACTTGCCAGCCATTTTTATTATGGTATCTACAGAGCAAATGTGCTTTGGTTACTGTTCAATTCAATGTAAAGGCTATAATTCTGCACTTGGTCAGTTACTCCCGGTATTAAGTATGCAGTGCACATCTCGAGATGCTGTGCTTACTGTTTGGAGGACCGGCAGCCTGGAATGCCTGGTAGGGAGCTTGAGCGGTGGGCCGAGAAAACACTGGAGGCTCCTCCCCAAAGACCACTATCATCACCTGGATTAGGCCGTACAAATCCGACTGAGGCTGTGGGACAGGACACAGAAGCTTGTTCAAACGCAAGAACTCGGAACTGAGCATCAAGAGACACCGGAAAGGAACACGACTTCCCACCAAAACCTCAAACTGCACAGACGGCGGCGACTTACGTGCTTCCACTCATGCAGATAGGGGAGGTAAATCTTTCCATTGGCATCTATGTGTTTCCCTGTTCTGATCATCATGGTACTGGTGGGCTTCACAAAACAGATGGGTGGGTTGAACGGGTAGGTGTCCAGAAGCCACAAACAAACGGGGATGTTGTAAACATTTCCTAGTGAAATATGGTTGGGTGGGGAGCAAAAACAGTAAACAAAAACAGTCATTTAAACCAGAGAGAAGTGTGACAGCATATTTACCAAAACAAAAATGCTGCTTTTCATAAACAAACAAATAAATAAATAAACAAAACAGAACAAATCAGAAGAATATTAATAATAATGTCATACACATTCAATTGTCTTTCAATTATCTATACCAACCTTTGTAGCTGACTGGAACAGTTCCTGTTAGACTCATCAAGTCTCTGCTTGACCCATCATTAAACACTGTGAATAGAACATTCTCAAATCAATATCCCCCGCAATTGCTCATCTGCAATGTGTTTTGCCGGCTATCGCACACAAAAGCATGACTAAATCAGAATGGCAGATGTAATTATAAACCTGGTTTACGCGCGTTTACACGTCTTTCATTAATCCCAGCTGCACTTTACGACTGACTACAAATCGCCTGCTTTCCGCCCAGCGTGACTGTAAAGCCACCTGCCGATTACACGGGGTGCTATGGGGCAGCCGGCCGCAACCTGTGTGATGGAGACGGTACTTACCGTAAGCATCCATCACGGGCTTCAGATCTTTGTAGTGAGAGATGACGTTTATGATTTCCCGGACGGTCAGATCTCTGTACTTGTATTGCTGTAAAACAATAACAATAATGAACTAAATAAGATCACACCACGCGAGCCATCTAGGTTAGCAAAACACGGGTGTATAACACACGTCTAATCGGATTTCATTTCGAGGCCGTCTTTTAAGTACCTGAAACACTAAACAGCTATGTGATTTCTTTTATAACGACATGCTAAAAGACGCAGAGCTCTGTCGGCCCACTTATTATGGACCACAACACAAAAGCGCAGCCAGCTTAGCTAATTTAGAAACGGAAAGTAAAAGGCTGTCCGAAGTCGTCAGGAAAGGTGCTTTTCTTTAGCTGACAAAGGCCACAAACCTTAGACAGCATTTTCTTCAGCGCTCCTTCGTTGACAACTGCCATGGCTCGCTCCGGTGATGCTAGCTCCTAGCTAACGCGGCTTCGACTTCAGGACGGTCCTAGTCAGGGAACCCAAGCGAACCTCTCCCAGCCGACACTGGCGGAAATGGGACCGCGCTACAGACAGTATTTCACCTGGACTTGGTTCTCGACTGTGTTACTTCCTTACATTACCAACATACGTTACAAAACAGTAACATATAATTTAGCCGTAGTCTGTTTAGGCTGTGAACTTTTACGGATAAAAACGGGAACGTCGTCAACATGGAAACATTTCCTGTATCGATGCACGACTGTTTCCGGTCACATGACAAATGACGTTTCTGTCTATGTCATACGTTGCCATACGAACCGAGCATCGTCACTCGAAGAGGGAATCCTGGTTTTAAACCTCACCACAGGTTGAAATTATGTTTAAAATGACATAAGCAAAAATGTCACCAAAGTGTGATCTTGTGTAAAGAAAAAGACGTATTTTGTGCGGTGACTGCTGGCAGATGTGACTTTAATGGCATGCTTTTTTACATACTAGTTTATCATTTATAGAACTGCAAGAGGAAACTGGAGTTTCATGGTGAGAACACAAAACAACACACATAGAGTGAGGCAGAAGTCCAAACCTCAACACTGGAGGTGTGAAGCAACAGCGCTACCCACTGAGCCACCGTGTCACAATATAGGCCTATCATGAACACTATATATACACTATATATCGCTACGCTTTTATTGCTAGGCAGAAAATCACACATTAATAACATTACCCGGTCAGCCTACTTTCATTTAAGAAATATTAATCGTCTCCGTCCATCTCTTACCCCCTATTCTGCAGCCATTCTTGTTCAGTCTAGTGACTTCCCGTCTAGACTACTGCAATTCACTTCTCTTGGGTCTCCCTCACAAGTCCCTTCGTAAACTTCAACAAGTCCAGAATTCAGCTGCCCGAATTATTACCCGAACCCCATCTGTCCACATCACTCCTGTTCTTCAGCAGTTACACTGGCTCCCTATACAGTTCCGTATCCAGTTTAAAGTCCTCTTGCTGACATTTAAAGCCATCCACAACCTTTCTCCCCCCTATTTATCTCTCCTTCATGTTTCCATTGCATCTCGCTCTCTCAGATCCTCTTCCTCATTATATTTGTCTGTTCCACCTGCCCGTCTTACCACAATGGGGAGCAGAGCATTTAGCCGCTCTGCTCCCCGCCTCTGGAACTGCCTCCCATCTCATCTTAGAAATATGGACTCATTTCCTCATTTCAAATCTGGACTCAAAACCTATCTGTTCAAACAAGCCTATTCATTGTAAAATCCATTTATTTGTCATTTATATTCATTTTAATGTATTTCTTGCATTGTATCTTTTGTAGTGTGTATAAATTTTTATGTATGCCTGTACGGTGACCTTGAGTGTCAGAAAGGCGCCTTTTTAAATAAAATGTATTATTATTATTATTATTACAAATGTGAATAAAATGTAATTTTTTGAAGTAACACTCAGACACTTGGACTCATTGACTTGTTTTGTTTTATTTTAAATAATGGCAGCCACAATCACACAATAATCACAAAACATTCAATTCTTGGTTTCACTGAAATATAATCAAATTTTAAATGTAAACATTAGGGGCTGGATTCTACCATGTACATAAGACAAAAATGCAAGCATTCTACAATAAATGTATGTGCTCAAATCTTTGTAATCAGGCATTATATGTCTCTGATTCTAATTTAAGAATGTTTTATATCTGACAAGTTTCATTCAATTCTATGGTGGATTTTATGGATAAGGCCGAGAAACAGCTAACATTTTGATTCATTAGATGAATAGACATCCTCTCTGCTCAGGATGACCTTTGACCCTTTCCTTGCAGACCACTGTGCCTCAGTTTGGGTCTGTGACACAGGCAGTGACAAAAATCCATCTGCAAAACATAGAGAAGTAATTGAATAATGTTGCCATGACATTGTGAAATTGTCCTAATGGCTCAAACAGGCATAAAAATACTTATGGTATATCTTGTTAAAATTCACCTGAATGCTAGTGAAAAAAATAGCAGATTTTTGGGATCGCTGCGTAAATAAAACATATCACAAAATTAGGTTTATTAAAATGATAAAATGTTGTGTTAAGTTGGAGTGAATAAATAAACATTGCTTTAAACTGGGTCAGACTCACGGATGCTGTTGTCCTCCCGGTGTCAGTGTTAAGATGTTCATTTCACACCTTCCAGTAAAATGCTGCATACAAAGAGCCCCCACCCCCCAGAATGGCTTCCTGCTGCTGACCTGTGCACACCTGATAGATAGCACGATGTGTAAACAGTGCAGCATGGTGACTCTAGAGGCGCCTCACTGTTGATGGTGTCCAGGCCTGCCGGTGTGCTGTCGCACTTGCACAAGGGCAGCTCATTTCCAAACGTGACTCTCATCGCCTGGACCAGGCCGTGCAGGTCTGTAAGAGGCTGAGGATGAAGAGCGGAGGCAGTCAATGGGGAGCCCAATGCGTGGTTTGGGGAATGACTGTGCTAACAGTGGGGATGAACTCACAATGTTGGTGTTTTATCCCAGGAAAATCTGGTTTACTTCTTAATCCCATTATAATTCACTGCTGGACATACATTTTATAAACATATCCAATATTTTTCTAAGTGCATTAATAAGGTCAGCTTAAGACAATGTCCTAAAGACCCATCCATCGATCAATCAATCTTCCAACTGCTTATCCAGTATAGGGTGGTGAGGAATGTAGTAAAGATAAATAGATTAATATTTTTAGTACACAAATGAGTGATTATTTCTAAGAAAGAATTGTGCACATGTGCATTGTCTCTTATTCGCTCAGTGGGTGGGCCGGAGACGACACACCGCCATGCTCTATGTGTGGAGTTTGCATGTCCTCCTATTTGCATAGGCTTCTTCCTGCGGTCCAAAGACATGTGACTAAGGGAACTCGTGTCTCTACCCATAAAGACCACAATGTTGGTGTGTCCTGCCATGTACGGGATATCCTGTCCAAGGTGCCCCCTTGCTCTGCCTATGACAGGCTCCAGGCTCTCACAGTGACCCTGCACTAGATTTCTGGTTACGGAAAATAGAAGGACATCGTCCCCTGGTGGCCGTTTGGGGAACAGGCATTTTTCAGCCAGTGCCGTTCTTATTTAATGTGGTACTAGTTAAATGCTACAGAAGAACACGTAACTCACAAAGAAATACACTCACAGGCTTCCAGGTTTGCAGGTAAGGTAAGTCGACCTTGCCGTCACCATCAACGTTTTCTGACCTGACAATCATGCTGCTTTTGGTTGGCTGTATGTAACACATGGGTGGGTGCAGCGGGTAGCTTTGCAGCAGCCATAGGGACACTGGGATGTTACACTCCATCCCTACAGGGAACCAAAAAGAATAGTAACTATGCGGGTCAGGTGGAATCATGTGACCTGAGAAATGATGTCAGAGTGAAACTGATTGGGTGTGGTTTACCTTTGTGACACACTGGGATTGTCCCCGTTAGACACATCAGGTGTCTACTGGAGCCGTCGTTGAACACTGAGCCATGGACATGAATGGATGAACGTGGTTTTGAGTCAAATAAAGATCCGAAAAGTAATGAATGGATCAGACACTTACCATAGGTGTCCAACACTGGTTTAAGACTGGTGTACTGGCAGATCACACTCCATATTTCACAAGCAATCAAATGCCTGTGCTTGTATTTCTGTTTTTCAAATGATAATAATGATAGCAATTATACAAAACAATTAAGTATTTCTATATGAAGAACTGCATTCTTGAAATATAATGAAAATCGTTTATTTTGATTTGAACAACCCAACGCATAATCAAAGGCGCCTCCCACTGGACTGACACCCCTAGTCAATGATCGAGCTCTGAGGCACGATAATAAACTAATTAAAGGCGTACTTTGGTCAAGTGCATCCCGGTTAAAAGAAATGCATGAAACAGAGAGAGTGCTGCATCAAATCCCGTCTTAAAGCCGCCTTCTCTACTTCTACAGCACACCATTAGGAACAACTCCCAAACCAACCGGGAGCACACAGAGATAAACAACGATAATAAATGGGTTACTTGTGAACAAGTAAGAGCTAAGACGGGCACATCTGCATTAAAAATTGTATTGACGTCTGGATGCATTTCTTCCAACGATTCCGGTCAGGGTCTCTTTCGCCATATTTCTAAATCAAATTTCATTTGAAAATGTAACGATTGGGGTTCTGACCTCGGGGACCTTATATCAGATATTCCCAAGCTAGTTATTTTGCTGCTATTTAAAGTCACTAACTGTTTGAGTGTGTGCCTCACATACTGTAAATACACGCTTTACAGTCCTCTGCTTAGTCTACGGGCTAGGTTTAATTAGAAAATCAGAAATGTTCAACGAAAATATAAGGAACTGGAATACCGAACGCTGTATTTTTCAATTCAATGCATTCTAGATATATTTTAAATATAATAACTGCCCACCCCTTCTGTCATTCACAAAGCAGTATTTGATGGCGTCGAGGTAGCCTTACATTATTAAGCAAAACACCTGTGTGTTACATAAGTCAATGCAATTTCTTACCTTTGATAACATTTTCTTGAGCCTCACCGTTTCCATGATAATCCTCAGTTATGTCAGACGGTGAAATAACTCGATATTCTCGACAGGGTCACAGAGATGCCAGCGAAAGCGCACCACGTCCCCTGAACTCCGCAACGTAATAGGAGCCGCAAAGGTAACTGGGCTTCGTCCTCATGCGGTACAGCAAGGCGTTTCCATAGCATCATGAATGAAGATACCGTTCACGTTTGACCCGTCGAAAGAATGGAACGTACTCTTCTTAAGTTAGTATTTCATTACAGTTATTCCTCTGAAACGTGGAGAAGCCACCACCCCGAAGCGCATTTCCCCGACGGCACTGCTGCACAGAGGTGGGGTACATCCTGGACATGTAATAAAAGTGACGTGAACCCGTTTATAAGTAGCCTACTTGGCTATTTTAAATAATTTAAATCAATGACTTAAATAGGCCTACCTTGAAAAAGGAGAGTGAAAATTGACGGATGGATGGATGAGCGCAGGTCTATATTGTATCGTTATACATGAGAGAAAATGTCTTTAGAATGGATGCCAGCGTTTCTAAGATAAATTACATATCAGTTCCGTTAACCTTCACGAGGTAAAATATTAATGAAGCATCATCCGTTTTTCTATAGGCTACCAACGTGTTTACAGCTGGATGTGCATAGTCGGTGGTTGTTACGACCTTTGGTTTCGCTCAATGAAACAATTAATAGGCCTACATTAATATGGTGTTTCGTTCAAATGTGTGTGCTGATTACCGCCTGTTGCTAATATTTGTGAACAATCTAGTGTTTATTAATTTTTGAGAACCTACTTGTATTGTGCAGTTCCACACTCAGTAGCCTATTAGAACAAACCATCCATTTCTGGCTATCGTTCACTAATATATATTTTTCCGCATAATTTGCCTTGCATGACTACGTCCATTCTGAACAACCCCGTAAAAGTTGTCGATTTCGAATTCAATGGAAAACCCATCCAGGACAGTCGCACCACAACTGGGAAAAAATCAATAAGACGTTTTTGACACCTCTGGGAACACATTCTGTATTTTCCATATTTTGCGTAGTGCTATATGCAATACAAATAAAAATTTACAATACCACAGTTTCGCCGTTGTAAGTCACATCACTTTGTAATATAACATAACAGCGGTTGCAGGAAAAAAAAACACGAGTACAGTTAAAAATACAAAATAAAAGTTTTGCACTGGATCAAGTTATCTACAAAACACAAATGCACATATAACGAATAAGTCACAGCATGGGACTAGAGTTCTGGTTTGTTTTGAAGGCTGCGACGTCATCCTGATGAGTCCCTAATCTTCGGGATCGGGAGCTGCGGAAGGTTAACAAAAATAAAAAATAATAATATTTTTTTTTTTTTTTTTTTTAAAAACAGCGACCCCTGGTGGTTGAATATCCCGGAAGCGCACTGGGAAGAGCCGGCCAAGAGCGGTCACTAAAAATCAGACTGCTGACATTTGCAATCAGGCGAATGGTGGTAAGGTGTTCGTTTCACCGGTGTCCCTGACGCATGCTATCATTTTCGGGGACAGTCCCTAGCTGACCTGCCCTCCCTGCCTCACACACACAAACACACCCACACGCACACACACACACACACACTATTTGCCCTGTCTTCTACTGAAGCGCTTTGCCCGGGAGGGCTTCTGGGTGAGGGTACCATTTTCCTCTGCCAAAAATGCGCTCCAAGTGTGTCCTTCTAGACTATTCAGGTGTAACGTGAATGGAGAACAAATGTGGGCTTTTCGGTTTTTTTTTCGGCGATCTGTCAATCAAACCCACGAAAAGTTCATATGCAGCTCCAGAATGCCGCTGTTCCTTTTACTATACAGTCAATAAAAAAGAAATGACAAAATGAAGCATTTTAACCACGTGGCCATTAAGTTAGGTCTGACTCCTTTTTAAAATAGTTACAAGCTTATATAATGAGCGTTTGGAGAAAGAAACGCTTGGGTAAATAATAATAAAAACATAAACCTGATATCTTAACCTATATACTCTCTCTGGTTACTCTACACTGTAACCCTACCACAGTTTATGAATAGTTAGATTAGAAATTAAACACATTTTATGGACTAAACCTACATTCAAACACTAAGGAGCACCCCAGAGAGTCCAAACCCAAAGATGCTTCTATACGTATGAGGCAACCAAGGGTCATCCTGTTGAAACAATACACGTACAGCTGAATCCTTCATTACTTATTGGCATATGAAAATTAATATTTTTAAATGATTTTAAAATGTCCTTCAATTTTCCATGTGACACTGGAAATGATTGGAAAAGTTGCTTGAAATAAAAACAAAGTGAGGTCATGGAAGGCAATCTTGCATCAATTTCCATAGAATGCCAGAGGAAAACATCATGCCAATTATGCTGAGGGTGATGAGGTGGGGGGGAAAAACTCAGCACTAAAATACACACAACTGAAGAGGTTATCATTATACAAACCATTCTCTTCCCTTTGCATTTCCCACCCTCAATTCAGACTTTTCACATTAAGTAGTGCAAAAAAAAAAAAAACACACAAAGATATAAAACACTGAGAGACATCTGGATCGAGTTTCCAATGAACAGACGGAGGATAAAAGCATTTTGTACCATAAGGAAGACAAATATTGTCACTTAAACTGAATGCCCATCTTAGACGGCAGAATCAGAAAAGACTTCATCCACCACAATTCCTGAGCTACATCAAGAGCTCCAGAGAGACTGACTGACAGCTCCCATGAACAACTGTCAATCAAAACCAAAGAGGGGGGACTGGGTAGGAAAGGGGCATCTTAACGTCATCACAGTAACTGTTTGCGATGCGATTCGCAGGTCACGCGGTCTGAACCCCCTGTACCCTATCCCTGATCTGTAACAGAAATACACAGGCAACAATATAAAATCACTGTAGCCAGCTTCAAATAAAGCTTTTTTTTAACAAAAAAAAAAAAAAGTCAGGAAATGGATTCATGAATTAAACTAACAAACAGAAAGGGTGGGTAGTCAAAAGCGTCCTACTGCAATGACTTTACATATCCAAGAAGGAGAATTAAAACAACAAAAAAAAGAACAGATGATTTAAAGACTCCACTGTTCTACATCCCAGTTAAATAATAACAACGTGCGTCCATCCTGGGCAGGTCATGTGCAGGAAGGTGCCACTTACAGGCCAATCCACTGGGCTGCCCCTCCCCTGACAGACAAGCCTGAGCGAATGCAGCAAACAGGACCTTGGTGTGGGTCCCGGGGAGGGGAGTCATGTGACACGGGTGACACAAAGTGATGTGAACCCTGCCCGGAGCCCCGCCCACTCCCCAACATGACGCCCAGGACGGCCGACAGGAAACACTCAACACATAAAGCGTGATCTTCTTTAAACAAACTACCCAAGAATCAATTCACAACATTCCTTTTAGCTAAATACAAACGGAAACGATGCTGTAATTTCATTGGCCGCGCCCTCCACCTCCAGCCATTTTGAGGCGTGTCCAAGGTCACAGGAGGGCTCTTAGCCAGGCCAGTGTGGGGCATGCTGTCAGGAAGGCGTCCAGCGAGAGACCAGTGTCGAGACTGCAAAACAATAAGTTAAAGGACTCACAGACTCGCCCTGAGCGAAGCACACAGGAGAGAAGTCCTTGGTGATGTGAGCGCGTGCATCGGGCGGGGAGACGTCCTGGTGGGCGAGCCACCCTCTGATCCCAGCCCTAAGGTCAAACAGCTTCATCCTTCCGCCTCGCTTTCCCATAGCTTGTATTTGTACATTTTCCTTTTTTCTTTTTTTTTTTGAGCAGTCCCTTCACGTCCATCTTGCCACACGGCCCCCGTTTGCTGGATCCCGGCCCCCCCACCCGGTTGACGAGCTGTGGAGAGCAACAGATAGAAGGGGGCGCTCATTAGCACATGAACCATACACATAGTGAGCCAATCAGGGTGGTTTGGTAAGTACTCATTGGAGCAACTAGGAGGCGCAACCAAGACATCTGATTGGTTGCAAATGCCTGATCTACAATCTGATTGGTTATCTCTCTGAACCAATCATTTTCATTCTGTGCTCAGAACATTTTTGTGTAAGTGAAACTCTCAAGCTTGGAAGACATGTATGGGGGCAGACTTGCTGCCTTCTCAATTCTTAAGTCCAATGTCTTTAATCATGATTAGACAGCCCCTCCACCCCCAGCCCACCCCATGGTATGGAGGGAACAAATCCTATTGCCACATCCTATAGAAACGTAAAGCCGTATTTTTAAATCTAGCATCTACTTTGTGAGTAAATGGATTTTTTTTTTTTTAAAACCAAAGACCGATGCTAAGAGCACTGGACATGAATTAAAGTGCTGCATTTCCAGCACTAGGCTCACAGACATCCTACTTACTTCTCTGTCCAGGGCAGAATTACGGCGAGCTTTGATTTCTGAGCGAGCTGAAATGCATTTTCACTCTCTCAGTCCCTCCATAACTGATGAGTACCAGAGCACCCAGCACTAGCCCCAAGAAGCCACTATCCGCCATCATAAATCTGCAGTAACAAGAACTGGGCAAGTGACAGAGTCACTGACAGCCGCCATGTTGGTGCCGCGTGATCCAGTCCAGGCTCGTCATGCGTGCGCTCTTGCCGGTTCCGGCAGCTCACCCGGGTCACGACACCACACAACGGCAGTTCAGACAGTCCTGGCCGCTCTCGTCTGGTGGGTTCAGCTTCCGGAGCTTATGCTGTCGGATCTCACGCACCAAGGTATAGAAAGCGTCCTCCACCCCCTGCAGACAGAGCCCAAGGTCAGTTAGTGCAGCACCGACCCAAACATGTTTGACAACGTCTTGGATAAATTGCCACAATTTCACTACCTGCGCTAGTCTGAAGTCCATGTTCCCCCCCAACCACTTTCCCTTTCATCTGCCAAACTACTACCAGGATTAAGGGTGTCACCGTCATACTCACTCAGTAAAGTCTGCAGGAACATTTCTAAGATGGATTGCAAAGCCATAATTACAAACATATTTAATCTCTTTCAGCCAGCTTCTTAAGAACAAAAAAAAAAAAGCTAAATCGGCACCCGATTCTAAAATGCATGTTGCCATGGCAACAGGCATCTGACGCCGGGCTGTCGAATCCCGGCTGCGTACGAGGACTAATCCACCCCTCCCCTTTATACCAGTGGGACTACCGAACTGTCTATTTGCAAGTGCATTAAATGACATCATTTGCCCCCCCCCCACCAGGTGTCCCTGTGTACAGCCAGATGTGACGGAAGCTGGCTGCCCCATGGGAAGGTTGGGGTGAATGCTTGCAAACCCCCCCCCCCAGCTCAGGAACGGTGATCACTCCTCTAACATCACCAGACCATTGCAGGCCTGATAACTGTCACTATGCCACTAATGTACGGAGCTCTGTAACGGAGGGACAGGAAACAGACACCGGGAATGCCGCGGTACCTGTCTCGTCTTGGCTGAGGTCTCGATGTAGGGGATGCCGTAGCTGCGGGCCAGCTCCTGCGCCTGGCGGGTGTCCACCGTGCGGGCCGGCAGGTCGCATTTGTTCCCCACCAGCACCATGGGCACATCGTCCGAGTCCTTCACCCGCTTGATCTGCTCCCTGAGTCGCACGCACACGCGGACACACACATATCTTTCAGTATACTTGTGACGTTAATCAAAATGAATGACACTCCCCCACGCCATATTTTTACGGATAATTTTTATAGACCGTTAAATTCCATTTAACGGTCTATAAAATCAGCCGTAAAGCACACTGTAATGACTTGTTTGTGATAGCCATTAGTCAATAATGACATCATTGCCTAAAAATATTCTCTCTATCATAAAGCACCCAGGAGATGTTAGCAGACAGAACAGAACAGGCACGCCCTCACTCTTCATATCTAAACCTCATCCCTTCCTAAATGTGGCGTCACCAGGTGCACCGGGGCATGTGACAGGACAGACGGCAGTCAGTGCCACGCTAAACAGTGTGGTTACCAGGTGACACCCAACGCAAGTCTGCCGTAAGTCTTGTGTGCCATCGGTGGACTAAGCCAGCGGGGTCCAGCATACCCACTGAACGCCACTTCACTCACCAGCCGATCGCTGTGCATCAGTGGGCCATTTTGACTCAAATAAGGTTTAGGTTATTTTAAAACTATATATGCATCCTTGGAGTACAGAGAAAGGGAATATTCTGTCCAGATTGAGTTATCCATCTGATATTCTGGTGCAAGGAATAAGGTAAGTTATGTTGTCAATAGTTTTGAGTATATTTTAAGATTCAAACCAAGAACAAATGACCTAAATCCTAAAATCCATCTTTCTCTGTTTTAAACTACCCCTGCCCCCCAGCCTGTACGCTTACTGTGTCCTTCAATGTTCCTCGCCCCCCACCCCCCATTATCAGGATCGATTTCATTGGCCGCACCTCAAACTCCCTCGTGCTGAAAGCTCAGCTCACTTTAGCCATGATGAATGCTACGATATGACATCATGGGGCATGAGAACGCGAGTTCCTTTTTTTGGCCACAGTCCCGTCCCCCCCCAATTCCAATGTCAAGTAATATGCTGAACACAATTTGTCATACTATAAAATAACCAGATTATCATAGCTTCAGAAGGCTAAAGCCAAAATTTAGACCTTGGTTTCTTGTTGCACGTGACATCGGGTGTGGCGTTCATTATGTGGTGGGCTTTATCTTTGTAGTTAGCGTTATGGACACACAACACACACCTGTACTGATGAATGTCTTCGAAGGACTTGGTGTTGTTGATGGCAAAGACACAGAGGAAGCCCTCCCCGGTCCTCATATACTGGTCCCGCATGGCGCTGTACTCTTCCTGTCCAGCTGTGTCCAAGATGTCCAGAAGACACGTCTCCCCATCAATCACCACCTGCTTCCTGTATGAGTCCTGAGGGGAAAACAGGGACGTTTTCGGTGTGGAAGTGCTGGGACCCCTTACTGTTCCAACATCTGAATTCTGCCCTAGTGGGGAAGCTCTCACTCTCTCACCTCGATGGTGGGGTCATACTCGTCCACAAAGTGGTTCTGGATAAGCTGGATGGTGAGGGCACTCTTGCCCACGCCCCCAGCGCCCACCACCACCAGCTTGTACTCCGTCATCTCTGGCTGCTGCCCACGCCCTGGGGCTGAGCGAGAAGACGAGAGAGAGGGGTGAAATAAAACAAACCAAAAGGAAAAAATTGTAAAACTGGATACAGGCCCCTTCACATCCAGTCTGCCTCTGATCCGAAATGTCCTCCAGGGAAATTAAACACCCCATTTGACACCATTTCACTCCACTGGCTGGAGTTGAAGACTCCCAGATCTGATTAGGATGGGTATCGGAGGGTCACAGACAATTCATGCTCATTACACACGTCCCCTTATGCAGAGTGATGTACAGATGGCGACCGTATATCGGTACAACATTTCAATCACTTTCCCAAAGCTAACGGCACAGTTTTAGGTAAGCCTCGCACGACAGACCATTAACACAGTCTCGCCATGGCTACCATCACTGCTGCCACGCACGAGACGGGCTGACCGAGGAATCCGCCGGTTGCTCTGCATTTCCTCGCCGTTCCGCCCTAGTTCCCGGGGTCCAGCAAGCCCCTGTGCATCTGCTGCCCCACCCTTCCATACGCTAGCGTGCTTCACTTCCTGCTGAGAGCCCAGCTGTTCCCATGAAGGGGGTTGGGGGGGGGGGGGCTCTGGTAGCTCACGGAAGGCTCGCGCCACCAACACCCCCCAGGCACAGCGGTTGGTCGGGGGAATAACAGCCCCCTTTCTCTCTCCCTTCCCCCCCTTCCTGGCCACATTTCTGACACAGCCGGGGTTAACGGTCGTATCACTGAGTGCTCAGCGAGACTCACCCTCCCCCAGCCTGAAGGCACTCTCCAACCCCCACGCAGGGTGGGGCTGGCCGTCCTGCCCGCAGGAGCCACATTACACTTTGGCCTTTCGTTAGTTAATGAAACAAGCAGACAGACATCAGGATTTCTTGCTTAGCTGGATAACTTGGATGTTAGGTAGTCTGGACTAAATGCAAGTGAACAAAGATGAAGTCCATTTAGCCCAGACTACCTTAAATCTGACAAGTTATCCAGCTAAGCAAGAAATCCTGCTTTGCGAAACAGGCCCCAGAAATCAACCCAGGAAGGTTTATTATTGATTTACGCCTGCTACACTCTCGCTATAACCACTGCTTGCTCCCTCACGTTTGGAACAAGACTGAGGGAACTTTGCGCACATAACAGGACACAGCATTTTAGCTGCCGACGAGACAGGAGTCCAGCAACAGAGGCATTAACGCTCAGGGTAACTCCCCCCCACAGCCCACGTGTCAAAGGAATACCTCTTTATTTCTTACACATCTCATCAGCTACGCCTCAAGCAGAATCTTGGATTCTCACCTTTAAAAAGCAAAAAACCTGACTGAAGCGACACTATGCCTGCAGTGACTATGAACAGATGACTCCATAACTGTGAAACCTGGATGCTTGTGGCTCCACTAACTCGCTGGTTGTGAGGTTAAGAAAACTTGTGTGCAGCCATGTTCAAGACACAGCAGTTGGTCACCTTAGTGATGGGAGGGGGTGGGCACAGGGGTTTGTGAAAACAGCCTCATGGTGAGCACTCAACACTGCATCACAACGCCCGGTGTTTCGCCAACATTTTTCTTCATCAAATTGAATGCACTTTTGAAATTTTTGGGGGGAGGACATTAGGAATTGTAGACATGCGTTCATCACAGGACTGACTCTCTGCATGACGCAGAGTCGGCGTCCCCCTAAGGGCCCGTAGGTGCTGACGCCGGCGATCGCAGCCAGGACTCGGAGCGGGACGGAGCGGCCCAGAAAAGCGGCAGAGCGGCTGGTGAAGCCGCCGGCGGGATGATAACGAGTGGACCCTCCTGCTGGCCCCCGGAGTGAGGAAATTAAACGCCACGGAAACGTCCATCTGTGGAAGAGGACAGAGAGCGTACCGCCGTGACCTGCCCGAGGGTAAGAGCACGACTCGAACTGCTGAAGAAATAATAAATAAATGCCGAAATAAGAGTAAACAGAACCACACCCCACAGGAACTTTGTTTCTCGGTTTGTGACTCTGTAATTGTGGTGATAAACAGTGGGCATCCTACATGGGGGGGGGGGGGGAATTCAAATACAATAGTGTGCAGCCCTGCATCACCTGGCCTGCAAGAGTGCAGGACTGAATTCCAGCGACCATCTTGGACACACAACGACCAACATTTCCTAAAAATGGTCCATATCAGTGCTAGTCATTTAACTGTCCCAGTTAAAAGAAAAATCATTTTGGATGATATTTCCAGGTTCTCATTGGGTTGGTACATCATTTCCCATCTGTCCCACCCTATTCATGTTAACAGCCAATCAGAATTGGCCACCCACAATGCAGTGACATTCTGAAGCTGACGGCAGGTGCCACAAGCTTCCCCGCTCTCTCGTCTCCATGGCAGCTTTTTAAAGCTTCTTCGGGGGAAAATAAAAATCTATGGCTTCTCATTTGCTATCATTTTCATAATCTGGCTCCTACTCGGAACTAATTAGCCAGTCCTGATGTATATGGTAATAAGATCACAATAAGGGGTACGATGGGGCCACAAGTTAAAACCCTTAAATTAAAAAATAAAAACGAAAAACGATTCCCCATCTGTCAGAGCCGACTGGGTTACCAGACTATTAATACGACCACAGGGATGCAGGAGAAGTCACCGGAACGTTTCCGTGGTGTGTCGGGGAATAAGGGGCCTTCCGCATATTGATGGTGGGGGGGACGGTAGAGCACCGCTCCCCCCACATCTCCTCGCTACGGGTGTCTCAGTTCCAGGTACAGATTGTGGTTTTTTTTCCTTGTAATGCCAGACGCACGGAAAAACGGGCACCAGGCGTATGAGCCGAGTGTCTCGCTTGGAGAGCGGCCTCATCTCTTTCAGTAACAACCAGGTGCTGGCTTGGGATGCCCCCCCCCCCCCCCCCCCCCCCCGTGCGGAACCCTTCTGCCCAGCTACCAGGAGGAGCTATTAAAATGAGAACAGATTTATGAGAACAGACCCATAAATCAGAAGGTTTTTATTAAAGCCCCTTGGAAGGGAATACGGGCGGCTGGTGACTGTATCCATTTACGAAAGCAGTCGGCAACATGATACAATGGCAAAAACATCAGCAGGAGCAATGAGATGGTACGGTATGAGAATTACTATGGAAACGACATCATCTACCTGAGCGCGAGAGAGAGAGAGAGAGAGAGAGAGAGAGACACACACACACACACACAGCCAAACATCTCTGACCCTATACATTTCCACTGACATTCTCAGCTATACCTTCTCGCCCACTGGGCTGAATCCAACCAGAAAAACACACAAAAATGGCTGACATTTGTTTTCATAACAGCCCATACTTCAAACATAAAGCGGGAGCCGTGGGAGGTAGGAGTCTTAGCTCACACGGAGCCTCTGGGTCCAGAAGGCAAATAAACGAGCGGCCTGGTGGGTTTGTTGTGCATCTCTGCTCGTCCCAGCTTCAGTCCCCAGGGGGACCAAGGCCCACCACGCCTCGGTAAAATCAGCAGCAAGCAAGGAACAAAACACTGCAACATACAGTACTAACTCGCACTGACAACCATTGTGAAGGCTAATGCTAGATGCTAAATGTGACGAAGGCTAACGCTAACTGCTGTCCATCACACAGGCCCACGCAAAAGGTTAGCGCTAAACTCCTGGCTAAACACCCCTCAAAACTAGCCACGCGCTAGTTACTTCAGGTCCAGCCTTGGGTGTATTCTCCCTCTGACATCTACCCTGCCTATCCCAAGCCAGCCTTACAGAACACAAGTGTCCTTTGATCACAGATCCATATTCAGTCGTCTCCTTATTAGCATTTCTACATCTCGTCTAAGAACCTCTCATCTCACACACAAACACACGTGTTGCTCCAACCGCTTAAACATGAGGAAATGGACGCATTGGATAGGAAGCCAGTCCATCACTTCACTGTCCAGGACACTTCAAGCATAACAGTCTTGTCTGCTTCTTCCTGATAATCCCTTACAATGGATACAGCAGCAAACTTTATATTAGGATGAGTTCCATCTTACAAACAGTTTTATATTAGACAGGCAGATTCACGGACTATGAGGACACCGCAAACCACCAAACCGGAAGCCCTCCACTTGAGCTTGCATCTGCATTTCTTGGACAGTCGCAGGAAGCGATACCTCCTGACAGCACCAATCAGATGACGCAACAAGCAGAGCCGCGGCCAGCGGCCATCCGCCGCATCACTTTGCCAATCTCTTTGGCGCTACGTGCATCTCAGGCTGCACAGCGAGCACAAAGATGAGATCTGCACGGCACAGAAACGGCGCCGTCATCGATACCGCAGGACCAAGCTCGCCAGGATGTGGCAGACCATGGTAGTCAGCATGCCATCATTACGGTGGCAGGCACTTCTGGAGGAAGCACCCGATGTCGTCGGACTGCAAAAAAGAGGCGTGGTCAAAAACCAAACCTGATTGGTCCGCCGAACCAAGTGGCCCTGCCCATGCACACCGAGCTCCGTGGGGACTGCTGGATTCACAACACAAGCTGTGCGTCTGGACCCTGGACACGCTAGGAAAGCAACTGTACAGAATTCAACCTCATGGAAGCACCCCTCATCCACAGTCCAGGGACATTAATAAATCAGTCATCACCCATAAAGTCTCGCGTCACGTGACGCGAAACAACCACGTATCCTGCTTCTGTGTCCGTCTCAGATGCGGAGGAGGGCACTGATGCCCTATGATGTGTCAGTAAGAGGCCATGATCAATGTGCGACACCAGGGCAGACAACAACTATCTGTTAAACAGAACACAAGCTTAGTCAGCCATCTGTTTTTTTAAAAAGACCATAGAAGATTTACTGCAAGGGATGAATTCAGTTTTATGGTCCGGCCTGACATGTTTATACATAATGTACACAGCAGGGTGGGTTGAGGTCCCACACGGAAGGAGTGGGTCGACGGATGGGGCTGGGGGGGGGGTCTGTGATAGCGAAGGAGAGGCGCTGGCACAGACCCAGATATCACATAGCTCTGCAGCAACCCAAATCCCACAAGCACCCCTCCCATTATTGTTGTATCTAACCAGTGATCCGGCCCCAGTCCACAGTAAACCCGGAACACATTTGCCAAGCTGGACCACATGGGTGTACCGCATAAAAGTCAGTCTACTGTCAATGGATTCCCCCATCCCTGCCCCTTGGAGCCAAGGGAAACGCCATTGGCCGAGGCCCCGCAGCACCGTAATGCGAGGGAGGATCTGCCCGTACATTTCGGGAGCCGCATTTCTGCTTCGCCTCCCTGACCGTGAAGGTCCTGCTCCAAGAGGAAACAGGAACCGTCACTCCCGGATTCTCATTCCCGTCGCTCTTAACCCACCAGCTCAAAGACAATAAGCAAAAAGCTCAACCAATGCCAGCCTGTAAATTAACAACAGGAATCACTTCTTTCTGGGAAATTCAGGA